AGCAAGTTTTTTTTTTTCTTAAATAAAATTTGAATAATTTGTGCCCAAGCAAAAAAAAAAAGAATAATTATTTCTCTAAATTCGGCAAAGGCAAAATCTGTAATTTTGAGGCAAAACCAATTTAGCTGGAAATCACTCCTCTCTTCATTAATATAGAACAATATTCCAGGTCATGATTTTTTCATTAGGAAATACATTGTTGATATAGAAAGGGATAAACAAGAATCCGTGCCTATGGGTGTCTCTGAAGATTGCTTCATAAAACTGTAGTTAAATAAAGTGCACGCTCTGAATGATGGCAATATGTTTATGGAGCTGCTGGATGTCGGCCAGGAACTGATGGAAGATTATCTGTGTGTGAGGGCGAGATTTAATCAGTTTATGCTTCAACCGAGCAATCACAAAGATGAGTTCCAAAATGCTCCTCTCATCTCGCCAATACGTCTGCTCTGTATTGGCCAATACGGCATTCAATAGCTCGGAATATATCTCGCAATTCTTCCGAGACGCATGCTGATGTTCAGCAAGTTCCAGCTCATCGATTAATATTCACAATGGTCCTAATGGACCTTCTTACTAGACTCTGCTCCTCACTGTGACGGGCTTGATGAGGTATTCCGGAGAACGTCATTGGCATGTGCGTTCCAAAACCTAAAAACCAACTCATGCCAAATATTTAACACCCTTAAAGTGACACTAAACTCAGAGGGTAAACCCTAAAAATACATTCAAGTACCTTAACTATTAACAACAATGTATCTTATTTGTGTATCACTCGGCTGTAGGTCCTCCAATCATCTGTGAATTGGTGCTGACACTGTCCTTCCTTCTAGAGGGTGTCTACTTTTGTTCCCCATGGTCCCTGTGTGTGTTGTAAGGTAGTCACCGCTCCAAGCTCACTCTCGTCACGGACTACAATGTTTAGTTTACTTATTTGTAAGGATTCACTGATGCCGATAATGGTGTCGGTGTCGATACCGAGTATTTGACCGAGTACCCATACTCTGATATCTTCCCCGATACTGGAACTTCCAGTCAGACGAAAATTGCCGTAGGGGAACATGGAGCTGGCTTCCTGGGCAATCAGGAATGCAGGTGGTGAGTAATAACCGCCTCTCGGCTTCCTGATTGGCCGGGAAGCTGGCTCCATGCTGATTTGACAAGAAGCCGGCTTCACAGCCAATGGCATTGGGCTGGCCAAACAGCCAGCTCCTTGCTGATTGGCCGGGAAGTAGGCTTCCAAGCCAATCAGCATCAAGCCGCCCGAACATGCCAAAGCCGGTTCGATGCTGACTGGCTGGGAAGCCAGTTTCGATGCTGACTGGCTGGGAAGCCAGTTTCCTGGCCAATCTCAAACATGGAGCCGGCTTCTCAGGCAATGGGGCGGTGGTGGATGTCGGTCTGAGCTGTCAGCGGCTCTGTGTGGCATGCTGTCCAGATCACTGACGTCACTGGTTGCCAGGAGATTGTGGGATACAAGCTAGAGCATTCCCACTCAGCTCTTGCCAACCAGTGACGTCAGTGAACTGGGTGGGAAGCCACAACCCACAGAGCGTAACAGGTTGCTAAGAGCTCTTAACCCCCCCAGCTGCTCCCAGATGAGATGCTGCCTGTGGCAACTGCCTCATTATAGAGATGGCCCTGGTGGGATCTATTCAGAAATGGACGGAAGTTTGCCTCCATCCAGGCCTGCTCTGCCTCTTGCAGCTGCAGCTCCTGGTGTAGGACCCTGATGTGCAGGGGGAACTCTGATGTGAAAGGGTTGAATTCCCATGTAGAGAGAGCTCCTAATGGAAAAAGGGGCTTGTGATGTGAATGGTGAATTCTGATGGGAAAGAGGAGGACTCTGATGTGAAGAGGGGCTTCAGATGTTAAGGGCGGCTCTTGAGTCTGAGAGGCGGTGCTTCTGATGTACAGGGGGGACTCTGCTATGAAAGGGGGCTCCTAATATGAACTTTATTTCATAAAGTTCATATTAGTAAAATACATACCAGACCCCTATCTGGAATAAGATTTTAGAGGAGCCACACATGTATAAAAAACAATATGTATTTTTTATTTAGCTGTTTCTTATATAGTAAACAGTTGCACAAATTGAAGTGATTAAGGTAAAATGACAAATAAAAATATACATACATGTTTTATTCCTCTTCTGTTACAGATGACACCGGAGCATATTCTCCGTGTGTGTACGATAATATTGTGTACAGTCGGATCCTCCAAATTCTATATAGGAATGAAGATATCGATATTAATGATGTCATGTTGTTCAAAGTCCACCTTTTTCTGGATGGAGAACGGGTTTGTATCTGATATAACTATTATGTATGACAATATTTATAAGAACATCAATCTATGTAGTTTAGCCGAAAAGTGAGTCGGTTGTAGTTCTGCTGTAGGTTTTGATCCCCAGTCTCCCTGCCATCTGGAACCATGATGACAAGATTTTCTGCCATGCCCAATACAGCAGTGACATGCTGGGACTGGGAGGTAGTGGATTAGATTATGGCGAACAGCTAAAAGGCTGACAGCCAACAGAACAGGCAGTACTGAGCACAGCAGAGAATCACAAGACAGGGACGTAGTCAGACAGGCTGGGGGGGGGGTCAGGGAAAGTGACAGGTGATAGTCAAGGACAAAAATAAAGTCAGGGGAGGCAGCAGGAATAAATAGGAACTGAGTGATGTCTAAAAGTGACCAGATAGGTGGTAAGATACGTCTTTGATCAAACTCAATGTTCTAAACTGCATTTAAAGAGTTCTGATTCTGGTCAGATGTGCAGCTGATGATGCGGTACTAAATAACAAGCAGCAGGTGGTGGAGGCACGGATTAAATGTTCATGGAAGATTTATATTGTACATTTGGAAGTTGCCCTGTGGGTTGTCTCTGTATTTTCCACCTTTTTTGGAATTTTTGGGAACTCTGGTCCACTGAAGCTGGCTGACTGGTCTTGCTGCCACCCCTCTCATGAACGTTATCACACCAGCCCTGTAATTAGTACTGTACCAGCTTATATAATACCATGAGGAGTGCAGGGTATTAGTGACTGTAAGAACATTTTATGTTTGAAACCGCAAGAGATTGAGGACTGGTTTGGCTGGTTGTACAGCTCCTTGTATTCTTGGATTGTAACATGTTTGGTGAGACTTAACCCGGGCATTGGTCAATTCTTTGAGGAGTGAGCCAGGACATCATCTGTCAGGACATTTGTGTCAATTTCTGTCATCCCAAGTCGGCAGTGGTGGAGCATAGGTAGAGGTGTTCCAGTTTGTTTTGAAGAACCTACTTCAAAGGGTTACTATACAATTTTGGGTTAATTCAATATTTATTTTTAATGTTTATAAATTTTGTGTTTCTACTAGTTATAGAAAAACATTATTTTTGCACCAGCTTAGGAAATGCATCCATTCAACTTGGTTCTGTTCTTTAGGTAGAAGATGCTCTTAGCGAAGTGGACTTCCAGCTGAAGTTGGACCTTCATTTTACGGACTGCGAGCAGCAGTGAGTACTGTAATGCCTTCTGGGTAAAGTATGTTAAGAACACCATATGATTATATACGGTGGCACATTGCTGCCAGTGGATCTCGTCCAGGCATGGCATGAGGGCACAAAATACAGTGGTCCTGTGTAACATATTCATACCGGGACTATAAATTGTCTCCCTTGCCTCCTGTAGGTAGATCCATAACACTGGTACAGTGAAGCTCTGTTCCTTCCACTCCTCTTGCATTGCGTTTTGTCAGTTTTCTGCCGATAAAATTCCCAAATCTCTAACAAGAAAAAACAACATGAGCGTCGCTGACAAGTGTAAACATTTCTTCCAGGCTGAAAGACATATCTGCCGTCCCCCTGATCAGCAGCCGCACTTTAGGTCTTCATTTTCATCCGCGAAGAGGTTTGCACCACCATGTTCCTGTCATGTTCGACTATTTCCACTTGTCGGTGATCTCCATAACGGTGCACGCTTCACTGCTAGCCTTACATCAGCCGTTTACCAGGTACAGTACCAAACAAAGCAGATGCCTGCCTCTCATGCCAGCACAGCCTTGTAAGCAATCGCTTGTCCTACCGTACAAAACTGGAGTGCGCTGAAAATAATCCGAGAGAGGGAAACTCTTTCTTTCTTTCTTTCTTTCTTTTTTACTGGACTGACCTCCTTCCGCATCAGCAAAGATGCTGTCACATATACTCATCTTCTGTAAAGAAAAATGTAAATTATATATATATGTATTTTTTTTAGATGGATTTTGAGGAGAATCAATCACATGATCGAACCAGCCTATAATAAAAAATAAATGGTTACTTTCTAGTAACTTGTTGTACAAGGCTATAAGCAAATTTTGGTTTGCAAGAGGTTAGTTGGGGGGTGGGGGGGGGTTGTGTGCTGGTGGTGCATGGATGGTACCTTTGGCTCTGTCCAGCATCCCGCCCAGCTCACTGACGTCACACTGGTAAGAGCTCCTAGCATAGCAACCTGGATGCTCTGAATGGAAGAAGGAGCAGCGGGCATACTGCCCCCCCCCACACACACACACAATACAATGGCCCTGCCTTCACCTTTCTTATTCTGCACATCTGTACAATAAATCCCTATGTGTGCCTGATGCTCTTTGGGACATCCTTCCCTTCTCAAAAGAAAGGAGACAATCTTCAGGGTCATCCTCAATAGTCATTTTTTTTATAGTACCCGGGCTACCTGC